GGGTCCTCCCGACCATCGATGATCTTCCCAAGACTAACTGGGTTTATCCCTGTGTGGTGAGGCTACCTCCCCGCGGAGAGTGGAAGTTGTTGCCCGACACATTCGAGGGCAGAACTGGTCAGCATGCCTTGACTGGCATTATTGGGTTGGGCCTCTCATGGAGTTGGTCCAAGGGCAGGCCTAGTCTAGAACATGATCCCATAAGTCATTGCTCCTGATGAAGGAGTTATAACTTGAGTCAAACTTTTTCTTTTACGAGGTGTGTTACTCGACGAGGGTCTTTCATTGTGTTGATGGAGAGAGTCGTCAGTATGTGGGTTTACCCGAGCAGTATTTGGAGTAGATTCGAGATGGGATCATTCTAGTTTCTCCTCGAGTCGTGAGGAGGGGGGAGCCTGCAGGGTGTAGACACGTGGCGTGACCTTTGGGATTCTAATGATGGCCTAGGGAATATGGGCCATCATTAACTGAGCGCATAGATGTCGAGGATAAAGGAGGTTGGTGAGCTGCCCAACGCGATGTTTTGCATTCCATGTCAGCTCTATATATAGCGCCCCAAGGCCTATTATTCACATTTACATTCTCACGCTCTTCACTCTCCCTATTTCTAACACTGTGCCATTTTCTTCAACGACTAATGCTGTGGAAGAATCTGTCGCATGTTCTTCATCTACCCTCGTTATTACTCATCCATTCTTGTTCAAGTAAGTATTTTCCGTGATACTCTTGTTTAGATTAGCTTTGATGATGTTTAAGTTGTTGAATTTCTCAACTGGGGGGTTTTGCTCGGGGTATTCATGCGTACTTTTTGTGTTTGAGTCCGTGTTATTCATCTTTTCATCGACACTTAGATGAATTTACCCCATGGTCTCCACACGTCCCCGTGAAACTCATGAATTTTGCACAAGAAATTGATGCAATCCCCGGAGAATTCATGATTTTGGCCGGAAAATTCATATTTTGCTCGCTGTATTTATCACGTGCCCAGGGTGTTCATGAAAACAAGCATTCATCGTTATAACCGTTGTGTGGTATTATAAGACTGGCATGATTTTCATGCCCTGATCGAGGGCCATGTACTTCCCCTTCCCGCCCGAGTGATTGTCGACTTAGTCTGGGCACCGCATAACCTTTTCATCTGTGTCGTGGAGGGATGGATTTGGATTTGCTGTCGAATTCATTGGTTTCCTCTGCTTTACAGGTAAAATGGCCAACACTCCCGAATCTTCCGAGCACATGTACGTCGAAGAGACCAGCATAGTCGAGGAGGGCGTCAACTTGGTTGACACGATCGATTATCCTGCATTGGCTTGGGTCAGTACAGAGCCTCGAGGAATAGCCTCGACATACAGTTATAGTAGGAGGTAGGCTTACACTGTCGTTGAGTATGAAGGTGATCAGGAAGGTTTCCAAAGCAACTTCAAGATCTTGTGACCAACACCTACCGCTCGAATATGCTTGGAGTTCGAGGAAGACCGCTTCCCCATGTATGAGGTCGTATTCAAAGAGTTAGGGCTTCGCCTTCCCTTCAACGATTTCCAGATGGCGGTGTTCAATCACCTGAACCTAGCACCCTCTCAACATCACCCCAACGCCATTTACTTCATTCAGGCATTTGAGATTACTTGCCGGTTCCTGAGGATCGGGGCGACCATTCCCTTGTTCTTAAGGGTTTTTCATCTACAACGGCAGTCCCGGGGTGGGAAACACAGTTGGGTCTCCATCAAACAGTCGAAGAGGCTGTTTAGGATGTAGATGGACTCTGTCTGCGACTTCAAAGACAGATGGAATGTCGTGCAACTTCTACTCAGGCAGTCGTGGACGCCGTGTTTGACCCGACCTCTGTTGTGGATGAAAATGGTGAACCGTGTTATGATACGGAGGGTAACCCGGAGGTTGGGAGACTCTCGAAGTTTCCCATCCATTGGTGTTTGGGCCACTATGATCATGGTCCCGGGCATTACCATACTCCCACCGGCGGCATGAGCGTTGAGGACGAAGAGGCCTATGGCATCCTTAATCGGTTCATCAACGGGTTCTTCCCCGCCAGGTGGGTCACGAGGGAAGGACATAACATCCTTGATGAAGATGGTAAGCCGGCGTTCAAGACGCGCCCGATCAACACCAAGGTGCTCGTCAAGTGTCGTTCTTATGGGCAAGACGTGAATCTCTTAGGTTTCTGCTCGCTTGATTTTACTATATTTTTATTTCTTGACTTGACTTCTCTTGTTTTCTCGACGAGGGTGACCCGAGGATACTGTTTTTGTCTTTACAAGTAATATGGAAGAGAACCGTGAGAGATTGTTGAAACTGACCCAAGAGAAAAAGAGCCATAAGAGGTTGGTGAAGCCGCACTAGGCTACACGCACGGGTTCAGTTTCCGTACCGGTCAAGGAGGGATCAAGTGGGTCGTTGGGCACCCGCGGTGCTGAGCAACACGCTACTAGGTTGAGCAAGAAAAGGAGTCGCCCAGAAGGTGGGCTCGCCGATGTGACTGAGGGAGGGGTTACTTCCCGAGCCTTCAACCTACCATCCTGCTTCGTGGAGAAGGATTTCTTTTAGGGCTTTTCTCTGACTGTGTTCGACAATGAGTCCGACATCATCAGGCGACTCGACAAAGAGGGTCGAAGGAAGCATCTGGCTTCCAGTATGGTCGAGATGATGAAGGTGGCGGAAATGGTCGTGGTCCTTGAGAGTGAAAGGGCCGACTCTTCTGGCCGGGTCAAAGAACTAGAGTCGGAGAAAGCGACTCTTCAGGAGAAGACATGGAAATTGAAGATCGCCCTCAAACGAAGCGAGGAGATGTTTCGGAAGCAGGACGATACGCTGGCGGGGGAGAAAGAGAGAGCTGAAAAAGCCCTCAAGGAAAAGGATTGTCTCCTGCTTGACAAAGAACTGTGGGAGAGCGAAATGGAACGATTGGAGAGGGAAGTCGCCGACCTGAAGGCTTCCATGATGCCCATGGAGGGCGAACCCGAGGGGGTAACTGATTTGCACACTCGCGTCGATTTTGTTGCTCGAATTCAAATCCTCGAGTCGGACTGTGTTAGTGCTTTGGCCGACGGCTTCGAGGCTGCCGTGAACTAGCTGTATGTGTTGAACCCGGGACTTAACACCGAAGGAACCGAGATTCTTCCCCAGGTGATTGAAGGTCGGGTGGTTCCTCCTCCTAACTCTCCCGAGGTCGAAGTGGGCACTTCGAGGAGTGATTAGCATTCTTTAAGTAACTTAGTTATTTGTATTTGGGCTTGCGTGCCCGTGATTTTTTGTAACATTCAGACATCGTCGGCTCTAGTGATCGGCATTTATAAATGCTTTAATTCGCTTTTAATCGTACCTGACCAAAATGGACCGTCACAGCTTACGTCGAGCAGAACTTGAGAGTGAGATGGGGGGTACCTGCAAGACACTCTGATGCCAAAGTGAGATTCAGAATGAGCAAGCAAGTAAGAGAGTGAGAAATGTTCAATACCTGACCCTCTCGAAAGAGAAGGGTATTTAGAACCCCCAATATTGGACCAATGTCTCCTTATTAGGTTGGTAAAGCAGACCCAAAGTGGAGACTGCCAGGTCCTACGTGAGTAGTGGAGACTAGCACGTGATCCCCCACCTGGATGACTTCCTCTACACGATCGAGAGGATATGGATGCGGTCTTTCCGGAGCTACGAAGACTCTGTGATATTCGGAGACGTTGATAGTCAGCCCTACGAGGAGGATGCTCGTAGGGATGTTTCTGCTCGTTGTGGATGCTCCCCTCCAGATGCGAGGCCATATGGGAGGATCAGTCTTGGCCGAGGAGAGGATTGGAGGATGACATCGGGGCCCTCCTGATCGACGATGATCTTACCAAGACTAACTGGGTTTATCCCCGTGTGGTGAGGCTACCTCCTCGCGGAGAGTGGAAGTCGTTGTCCGGCACAGTCGAGGGCAGAACTGGTCAACATGCCTTGACCGACATTATTGGGTTGGCCCTCTCATGGAGTTGGGCCAAGGGCAAGCTCAATCCAGAATAATTTATATCTCATTGTTTTACTAACAATACATTTATAATTTAAATTTGTTTATAAGATAAATTATATGAAATGACAAATAAACCTACATAAAATTTTAAAATTATATTTAAATTATGTTTATTATGGTATTCTAGGTGGGACGGGGACTCTACGGGACAAAGGATATTTATGTCACCCCAATCCCCGAAGTGCCTTCAGAGAGACTTTACTCTCTATCCCCATATCCGTAGAAGAAAAATTCCCTTTCTTTTAGGCCCCAAACAGGGAATCCTCGCGAGAATCCCTGCTAATAGGGCAAATTGACATCCCTAAGATTACCTCTTCTTTTCTTTTTTATTAATTTTTTTAATCAATATAACATTAAAAAATTCAAAATCAATTATTAAATGGTCAACATAGCAAAACTTAACGTTTTTTCAAGAAAAATTAACAGAAGAGACTATTTCATATAACATAAGTAAGTTAAAAGATTACTTCGTAAATTAAAATTAAATTAAGTTAAAACACCAAAAAAAAAATACATTAAATCTAAATATATCCACTCAAAAATTGAAAAGACATCAATTTCATTATAAAAAAAAAAACATATACTCCCTTTAATCCCATATTATAAACAAATTTTATTTTTTTAGATTTATTAAATGATTAATATATTTAATTAATTAATATATTATTTAATAAATATAAAAAAAGAGAGTTAAAATTTGTTCATAAAATGGACCGAAGGGATTACAAAATTTCTGAAGTTCAAATTTAAAGTAACTCTTTAACTCCAAAATGTATCTATAAAAATTAAAAAATATATCTATAATATTTTCCGATAATTCAAATAATAATAATTACACAGAGATGTAAGAAAAGGTTACGATAGGAGTCTAAGCAAGCAAACATCAATTGAAGATCTGAAACCCCATCCCACCGATCTCAATTCCCAATTCCCAATTCAGCAAACTCACTCTCCACCATACTCAATAAACTCCATAGCCATGACTCTCAATCTTCGACAGAAACAAACAGGTAACTAACTCTCCATTCTTTTTTCATTTTCTCTTCACTTTTCGCAATTCCATTAACGATCCGTTTTCCGTTTTCGTTCATTAATTCAGAATGCATCGCACGAATGCTGAACCTGAACCAACCAATAAACGCCACCGGAACGAACGAAGAAGCCTACAAGATTCTGATCTACGACAAATTCTGCCAGAATATCCTCTCTCCGTTAATCCACGTCAAAGATCTACGAAAACACGGCGTTACTCTCTACTTCCTCATCGACAAAGACCGCAAACCCGTTCACGACGTTCCCGCCGTTTACTTCGTCCAACCGATTCAATCCAATGTTCAGAGAATCATCGCCGATGCTTCTCGATCTCTGTATCAATCTTTTCACCTCAATTTTTCAACTTCCATTCCTCGTCCGCTTCTCGAGGATCTCGCTTCTGGAACGCTGAGTTCCGATTCGATTCATCGGGTTTCCAAGGTTCATGATCAGTATCTTGAGTTTGTTACTCTGGAGGATAATTTGTTTTCGTTGGCGCAGAAGTCTTGTTTCCTTCAGCTTAATGATCCGTCTGCTGGTGACCGGGAGATTGAGGATATTGTTGAGAAGGTTGTTTCGGGTTTGTTTTGTGTTTTGGCGACTCTTGGTGTAGTGCCGGTTATTCGGTGTGCTCGTGGTGGTCCCGGGGAGATGGTTGCTACTGCGTTGGATCAGCGGATTCGTGATCATTTGTTGTCCAAGAATAATTTGTTTACTGAGGGTGGGAATTTTGTTAGCTCTTTTCAGCGTCCAGTTTTGTGTATCTTTGACAGGAACTTTGAGCTTCCGGTGGCGATTCAGCATGATTTTCGGTATAGGCCGTTGGTTCATGATGTTTTGGGGTTGAAGTTGAATAGGTTGAGTGTTCAAGGAGAGAAAGGTGGGATGAGGTCTTATGAATTGGATAGTGCCGATCCGTTTTGGGTTGCTAATGGAGGGCTGGAGTTCCCTGAGGTTGCGGTGGAGATTGAGACTCAGTTGAATAAGTATAAGACTGATGTTGATGAGGTGAATAAGAGGACTGGAGGAAATCATGGTGCGGAGTTTGATGGGACGGATTTGATTGGTAACACGAAGCATTTGATGAATGCTGTGAACTCTTTGCCCGAGCTTACGGAGAGGAAGCAGGTGATTGATAAGCATACCAACATTGCTACTGTTTTGTTGGGTGAGATCAAAGAGAGGTCTCTTGATTCTTATGCTAAGAAGGAGAATGACATGATGGTTCGAGGGGGCATTGAGCGGAGTGAACTTCTAAGTGTGCTCAGAGGGAAGGGAACCAAGATGGATAAGCTTCGATTTGCAATCATGTATATTATTTCATCGGAAACTATTAATCCGACTGAAGTGGAAGCTGTGGAAACAGTGCTGAAAGAGTCTGAGGTTGATACTGCTGCTTTTCAGTATGTGAAAAAGATTAAGTCTCTTAATGTTACATTCGCGTCCGCGAATTCTGCTAGTAGAAGTAATATTGTTGACTGGGCTGAGAAACTCTATGGACAATCAATAAGTGCGGTGACTGCCGGTGTCAAAAATCTCTTATCTAGCGACAGGCAGCTAGCGTTGGCGAGGACTGTCGAAGCCTTGATTGAAGGGAGACCAAATCCTGAAACAGATATATACCTGGCATTCGATCCTCGTGCTCCTAAGTCCGGTGCTGGAGCAAGTGGCAGCCATTTGAAAGGACCATTTAAGGAAGCAATTGTGTTCATGATTGGTGGTGGTAATTATGTTGAATATTGTAGTCTTCAAGAGCTTGCACAAAATCAGCAACCTCCCAAGCATATTATATATGGAACAACCGAACTTTTAACTGGAGTGGACTTTGTAGAGCAGCTTACATTGTTGGGGAAGAAGATGGGTTTGGGTAACGTTGGTCCTACCCCAGCTCAGTAGTTAAGATGTGAATGTATCCTCAATTCAGCTTGCCAAACTATTCTTTAGTATACAGAAGTACACTCTCAGACACTTTGAGGTAAAACAGGAAAAGTCAATCTGCTGATATTCATTGTTTAAAAATGTTCAAGGATTTTGTGTTTTACAGGGCCTTCTTGATTATAAAGCTGAGGCAATAGCTTCTTTGTAGTTTTTTGTAGAATATTCAATTATGCTTTATCTTCATCTTAGTGAAAAGTTTTTTTATGAACAAGTACAACATGCCTTTGATACTTTGTTCTCACTCTACAATGAGATGTTATTGTTGGAAATTATAATGTATTAATTCGAGAAAGCGTCTAATTGGACACATTTTACTGTTCTTCCCGTGCATTCTTGTAGCATCCTGTTTAGATTGACATGTTTAGCATTTAAGCATCTTGTTTAGATTGATCTGAATCGATTGGATAGAAGCATGGTCTTGGATAAAACATTATGGCGAAAGCTGATCTATGTAGCCTACTTCACTTAGTGGGATAAAGCTTGGTTGTTGTTGTTTAGATTGTTCTGGTTGGCAGATTTGTGAATATTACAGCCTATATCATTTGTATCCAATCAAGTCTATGGCCATGAAGTTAGTCTTTTGTCTTTTGTCAGGCTGATATTTAGTTTGATTACTGTTTCCTCTTTTCTTGTCAAACCCAGCATCTAGTCAATGAATGAATCTTATTTGCATTCTGAGCTGTCTATAGCATAAGTTATGACAATAGTTCAACACTATAAGTCAGTACTTCATTTGAAATTTCAAATTAGTGTCATGGCATCCAGGAAAGTTGTTTCCTGCCACTATCGTTCAGGATTTCAAATTGCTACACAACCACCTGCTTTGTTCAAAATTGGATTAGTAAATATGCATTAACCTAAGTTGTTAATACTACCAGATAGCGGCGTGTAGCATAGACCCTCTAAAATACTAGCCGCAGTGTAAAAAATTTAAAATTAGTGATCAAGTAAACATAAATACTCAAGAATAGAAAAATATGCAAAATAAAAAAGACCATCATATTTAATAATTAAAGAATATTTAAATAGAGAAAAACATAACGGAACTGTAGAATTAAAGAATATCTAAATGAGGAATAAAACATTACTTTGAAAATGATTGGAATTCACATTTATACCTTAAAAAAAAGACAATAGTTTAGAAAATGAATTTGAGAAATTTCACCCTGAAATCCTATGAAATCCTAGAGAGGTTTAGGGATGCAATTTGTCTGCAGCTACTGCAGGTAGCTGCTGCAACAACAGTAATTGCTTATGGTGGCTTGCAGGCCAAAAGTATCATGCCAAACCCTACCTTCTCTAATTGTGCGTCGGCACAGGAGTGATAGAGGTTTAGGGTTGCAATTTGTCTGCAGTTAGTTGCTGCAACAACAGCAATTGCTGATGGTGGCTTGCAGGTCAAAAGTATCGTGCTAAACCCTACCTTCTCTAATTGTGCTGCGACACGTGAGAAATGGCTTGCAAACGCGGTTTCAAACACATGCTTAGAAGAAGAAAGTAATGGTACATTCAACCTTATATTATAGTTTTTTGTCCCACCACATTGCACTTTAAATCAAATCACAGTTGAATACACACTTAAAAAACCTCCCAGTTTAGAATATGCTTTATGGAGGTTTCGTGCATACTTATAGTCTCTGTCAAATTGAGTTAGTTGCTAGACATTTTTTGAAAATAGAGTTGGTTTGAAATAATAAAATTGCCAATGACATAACAGATACCTTTTCATATAATTATGATCTATTCCGTCTCTATTTCAAACAAAAACTCCTGCCCTTCGGATAAACCTTACAGCAGACCTGTTAGTTTCATTTTCAATAACGAAATCTCTCCAATCTCCTGAAACTTCACTGATAAAAAGCTGGTAGTTTTGATTTGTGTAGAAACAAGCACTTTTACTAGTGTTAAGAGAATAGAAAGCAGTTAAACTGTAACAGAATTGAATCACACTTCATTGCGCTTAGAATCGTTACAACAGACCCATATATAGGCCTAACAGAAATGTCAGCTCAGCAAAGCTGAACTAACTAAACAATCTATATATATAGGCCTAATAGAAGAGTAATCTATATTTATCTCTAATAGTCCCCCTTAGAAACCAAGGGTGCCTTCAAAAGTTCCTTTGTGTTGTAAACTCTCAGTTTGTCCCTTAGAGGGAGAAACTTATTAGCAGAAAGTGGCTTAGTAAGGGCATCTGCCCATTGATCTTGAGCTGGAACATGAGCAACTGTCAAGCTTTTGTTGAGGACTTTTTCTCTAACAAAGAAAATATCAAGCTCCATGTGCTTTGTCCTATTGTGAAGAATAGGATTATGAGCCAAAGTGACTGTACTTAAGTTGTCACAGAGAATTCTAGGAATCTGAAATTGACAGTGAAGTTCAGTTAAGAGAGATTGAATCCAAATCAGTTCAGCAGCTAATTGAGCCATACTTCTATACTCGGCTTCAGCACTAGACCTTGCCACAAGTTGCTGCTTCTTTGACCACCAGGATATGAGATTAGGACCTAAAAACACACAGGCACCTGAAGTGGATCTTCTATCATCAGGGTCTGCTGCCCAGTCAGCATCACAGAACCCTAAAAGAGACAGAGGCTGCTGCTTGGAGGCAGGCTGAATGAGTAAACCATAATGAACTGTTCCACTAAGATACCGAAGTATCCTCTTGACAGCCTTCCAATGCTCCTCTAACGGATTGGAAAGGAATTGGCAGACTTTATTGACAGAAAAAGAGAGTTCAGGTCTGGTTAATGTTGCATACTGTAGGGCTCCAACTACAGATCTGAAAAGAGTGGGATCAGCAACAGACTCTGAACCACATTTAGAGAGTTTGCTGCTTGAAACCATAGGGGTGGGCATAGAGTTAGCAGTGGACATGTTTACTCTAGCAAGCAAATCAGTGATGTACTTGGACTGAGAGAGAAGTAAGGCTCCATTGGGAAGATGATTCACTTGAATCCCTAAGAAATAGTCCAGTTGCCCCAAGTCTTTAAGAGCAAATGTGGTGTTGAGAGTTTTGATAAGATTAGAAATATAAGAGGGAGAATTTCCTGTGATTATTATGTCATCCACATACACTAAAATCAAGATGGTTAGGCTGTCACTGTGAAGAAAAAATAGACTAGGATCACACTTGCTTGCCTTCAGCCCAAGCTTGAGGAGAAAACCTTTCAGCCTATCAAACCAGGCCCTGGGGGCCTGCTTTAGCCCATATAAAGCTTTGTTAAGCTTGCAGACAAGGGACCTGTCATCAGCTTCAAAGCCAGGTGGCTGCACCATGTAGACTTCTTCTTCAAGAATGCCATTTAGAAAGGCATTGTTGATGTCAATTTGCCTAATAGACCACCTGTTTGAAACAGCCAGAGTTAGCACAGTTCTAACAGTAACCGGTTTGACAACCGGAGAAAATGTCTCAGTAAAGTCACTGCCAGCCCTTTGATGGAAGCCTTTGGCTACCAGGCGAGCCTTATATCTGTGAATGGAGCCATCAGGATGTTCCTTAACACGAAAAACCCACTTACAGCCAATAGGCTTAGCTGAAATAGGAGGAGTCACCAAGTTCCACGTCTGATTTTTCAAGAGTGCCTGAAATTCATCCTTCATGGCCTGAAGCCAGTGAGGGGAAGCCAAAGCTTGTTTAACTGTTGTAGGTTCCATGTGGGTTAAGAGAAGGGTGGGGTGACGTTTGGGTTGCACAATCCCAGATTTAGCACGGGTTTGCATAGGATGAACATTAAGGGAATGAATTGGATGAGACATAGGAGCATGAGGAGAGCTGGAACCAATTGGTGAGGCAGAAGATGGCTGAGAGAAAGGAGAAATGGTGCTGTTTTCAGCTATGTCAGCCATAGCAGATTGAGAGGACTGAGGAGATGCCAAACTATTGTTGGAGATAGCATCTGAAGCTGCTGATCCTAGGACAGAACTAGATTGCACAGGAGAACCTTGGGTTACAGGGGAAGAAATAGGAGTATGGAGGGGCTGATTCATAGTGGGTGAAGCAGGAGGAACTTGATGCAAAGGGGTAGCTTGGATGGGAGGCAGAATAGGTGGCATGGCAGAAGTATACCATGAGTGAGATGAGGGAGCAGAGGTAGATGACTGGGATGGGAAAAACAGTTCTAGATAGGGGAATCTACCCTCATTAAAAAGGACATCCTTGGAGATGTAGATAGTGCCATTGGCAGCCAAACATTTGTAACCTTTGTGACTTGAGGAATAGCCTAGAAACACACACTCTTGAGAACGAAAATCCAGTTTGTGTGAGTTATATGGCCTAAGAAAGGGAAAGCAAGCACATCCAAATACACGAAGACAAGAATAGTCAGGGGATTTGTGCATTAGAAGAGTATAAGGAGACAAATTGTTAAGAGAGGTGCTAGGCAGTCTATTGATAAGAAAGGCTGCAGTGACAAAGGCATGATCCCAATAACGCATTGGGAGTTTGGAGTGTGCTAAAAGAGCTAAACCGGTTTCAACAATGTGACGATGTTTCCTTTCCACTATGCCATTTTGATGGTGTGTGTAAGGACAGGTAAATCTATGCACAATACCTAAGTTGGTGAGGTACTTGGTGAAAGGTTTGAACTCACCACCTCCATCACTTTGGACAGTTTTAATTTTGCAATTAAACTGAAGTTCTACCATGGTTTTAAATTGAATGAATTGGGATAGGGTGTGAGATTTTAGTTTGAGTGGAAAGATCCAAACAAATCTAGAGAATGCATCCACACAGGTTAGGAAATAGGAATAACCACCTGAAGATGACACAGGAGCTGGCCCCCATAAGTCACAGACAACTAACTCAAAGGGATGGTGATAAATGGTAGTTGATAAAGAGGAAGGAAGTCTGTGTGATTTGCCTTGACAGCAGGCAGCACATAGAGCATTTGGTGGTTTGGGAGGGAGAGGAATATTGCACAGTTTGAGTACTTCAGAGAGGGCATGGTGATGGGGATG